CTGGAATTGGACAATACTGGCACAACACACCCCTGTCCTGGGTCTCCACTCAAGCTTCTGAGAGGCACAAGACTCTCCAATAATTTATTCTCCAAGCACTTCCCAAATCTCTGAGGATAAATGTGCAGAAAGCACAGGATCTCTGCCTCGAGGTGCAAAACTTGCCCGTAGGAATATGGGAAAAAGGGATCATTTTGCCCCTGCTCCTCTTTGGCTCCCATCCCATAACCCCACTCCATCTTCCTCATCCTCAGCTATTTTAGGCAGAGCCACACTTGTCTGCCACTCAGTAAATCCCAATTTCCCTGTGTCCCTGGATTGGGAGTATTTTATTTCACCATCTCCAGGTTCCTGGGGCTGCTGTCCCAGAGATCATCCCAACCTTCCCACAGCTCTCCCAAACAAAGATTTCCCCTTTCCAGTCCATCTTTCTCATGGTATTTTGCTTTTTTTACCTCATATTCAAGCCAAGAGTTCACAATACATGAGGTGAGGGCAACCAGCACTGTGGGGACAGCAATGCCACAAACATCTCCACAGGAGGGACAAGGGGGTGCCACCCCCTGCACACCCAAAACTATTCATGTCTGCACACCCCAAACCCCTCATTTCATTTCTGCACACCCCAAACTCCCCATTTGTGCACACCCCAAACTCCTCATTTCATTTCTGCACACCCCAAACTCCCCATTTGTGCACACCCCAAACTCCTCATTTCATTTCTGCACACCCCAAATTCCTAATTTCTGCACACCCCAAACTCCCCATTTCATTTCTGCACACCCCAAACTCCTGGTTTAATTTCTGCACACCCCAAACTCCCCATTCAATTTCTGCACACCCCAAACTCCCCATTTAATTTCTGCACATCCCAAACTCCTCATTTCATTTCTGCACACCCCAAACTCCTGGTTTAATTTCTGCACACCACAAGCTCCCCTTTCCCCGCTCAGAGCACGGGGCTGTGAGCCCTCGTGGGAGGGAACCCCTCGCTCAGCTGAGGCTCTCAGAAGCCCGAAAGCCAAAGAGCAGCGGCGGTTCCTGGAAACGCTCGCACGGGGGAGGTGAGAAGCCTTCCCACCCGCTGGCTACGTGACAGGGACAGCGCTGCCCGGGGACAGCCGCAGCTTGGGGGGGCAAGGAGCCTTTTTTGGGGAGGGAAAAGCCACCACGGAGGGAACCTGGGGCTGGGCAGGATGGGCACAGCCAGAAAGAGCTGCAGGGAGGAGGTGGGAGAGGGGATGTGAAGTGCTGTGGCCACAAGCCCCCTCCTCCCGGCCCAAGCCACGCTGGGGACACGTTTCTGTCACTTGCTGTGGTCACACCAAGCAGGGACACGACCAAAAGCACCAAATCTCTGATGCACACCCCAGAAATGGACAGGGCAGGGGCAACCAACAACCAGCACGTCCACGGGGCTGAGCAGGGAACAGGGGGGACACAGGGGACCCATGGGTGACAAATCCTCCTGGTCTCCCTTTCCTCCCCAACAAGGACAGCAGCAACAGGGTGGGAGTCAGAAAGAAAGGATTAAATCCAGAAGGGATTTAGAAAGAGGGGAAAGAGGTTAAAAAGTGAATGGTAGCATAAAAAAATATAGTTCAAGAGGGGAGAAAATGAATTTAAAAGGGGAAAAAAGACTTTGCACGAGAGTTCTGGGCAAAAAGGGGCTGGAAGGGAGAAAGGAAAAGTGAGAGCAGAGAAGGTGAGAGCCTTGGGAAGGAAAGGAAGGAAAAGGGAGGGGAAGGGAAGGCAGGCAGCAGGTGGGTGTGAGGGGAGGCCCTGGGGATGCTCCCTCTTCCCCAGGAACAGGCTGAACACCCCTGTGCAGCCCCCAGCCCCTCAGCTCCCCACGTTCTGCCTGCTGTGAGAGGGTTCTGCAGCAGGGCTCCTGCTGAACACAGGGCTGCAGAAAAGGGGGGGAAAAGAAGGAAATTCCACAGGAAGTTCAAATATTTTATTACTTCCTGTTTGTACAAAGTATGTCAACACTTGGCACCCGCTGTGCTATTTGTTTAGAGCTAAGGTGCCAACTTGACAGAATGTCCTTTTTTTTCCTGTCCAGACCTAACCCAGAAAGAGCTGGAGCAGAAGGAAAAAGAGCTGGGAGCGAGGGGGCACAGGAGCAGCCTGAGGAGGAGATGCTGAAGGGAAGTGACGCTGATGTCACCCCCAGGGACCCCCACGGAGCCTCCTCCTGCTCCTCCTGCCCTCCCCAGCCATCCCCACCCGCTCTCAGACTCCTCAGGAGTTTGATCTGGGCTCAGCCCGAGTTGAAAGCCTCGCTCAAGGGCTGAGATGAAGCGATGGGCCAGGGGTGGAGGATGAATGGGATGCCCAGAGGTGGAGCCCAGCCACAGTGCTGGCCCCAAACCCCACAAGGACGTTGGCTGGAGGGATTCTGCTGCAGCTGAGAAGACGCTGCCTGGGCCTTTCCCAGGGTACCAAGACAAATGGCCAATTCTTTCCACATTAAGGATGGGTTTTGTCCTCTCCACCAGCCCCACATCAGCCTCCAGCCCTGCCCAGTGCTGATCCTCACACTACACACCATGGCCCATCTTTTGAAGCCAAAAAGAAGAAAAAATTCCGTATATTTTTATGCCCACACATATACACACACACACACATTAACATATACATGTTAAAAAGTGTATCTAGTATGTATATATATAAATAAAAATTGCAATTCCTGCTGGCAGCTCTCACCTCCCACAGCCAAACAAGGCAGAGCAGCCCCAGCCTCGGTGTTTGGCCCAAGGTGGGGATCACCAGGGCTGTGCCAGCCCCAAATGCCACCCCAGATGCCAATGCTGGCACTGCCAGGGTGCTGTGCCCGGGAGCCACCCAGTGGCAGGTGAACCAGGAAAAGCACCTCGGCTTTCCAGGATCATTTTACAGCTGCTGTTTCCACACCCAGGGTTTCTGCAGAGCAGGAAGGGGAGAAGAAAGGTTATTACACTATTTTTTTAAATTGTTGTCTTCATTCAAAAGTGTGGCAAGAAAGAAATTATTTTAAAATGTTTTTTTCCCATTGGAAAGTTGTCAACCATGAGTTCAAGCCCCAGGGTCAAACTGGGAGCCAAAACATGACAAATAAATCTATGATTCCCTGAAAAAAAATTCCAAAATAGCCACAATTTGGGTCTAAACCTTTTCTATCAGAGATTTATGGGGTGGGGGGTGCAGGAATGGGGGAGAGATCAACCTCTGGGGGCCACATGAGGCAAGGGCACAAGCAGTAAATAAACCCCACGCAGATCTCCTCAAGGAGCCAACACTTCTAGCACAATTTGAGGTCCAGAAATCATCACAAAAATAAAAATAAAACCCCAGAAAAATGCTGCCCTTGCAGCTGGGCTGTGTCCCAGGGAGGGCAGCCCAGAGCAGAGCCAGGACAAGCTGCTCCATCCCCGGATTGCCACGGCCTCCGTATCAGAAAACCGAAATGAGGGATGGGGAGCTCTGGGGTGAAATGCTGAAATTCAGGAGGAGCAGGTGTGATTCACCAGGGTTTGGCTGTCGGGGAGGCCAAACCGAGCTCCAAGAGTAGCAACTATCTCACCTTGTATTATTATTTATGTATTCCTGATGATGAGGATGATGAGGATGATTATTATTATTATTAGAAAGGCGATCTGATGCAGCTGATAAGGGGCTGAGCCAGCAGTCAGGAGGGCTGGTTTCTATTCCTGACACTCCTGGCAGAGTTGTGAAATTCCCTGCCCAGCCCTGGGGCTGAACCCCAGCACCCACCACGACCCACAGGTGCCCCACACCAGGGACCTGCCTGATGTTTCTGGCTTTTAAAAAAAAAAAACCCACAACAGCAGCGTTGGATTTCCTGCATTCCAGCTTCTAAATCCATCCCCGACAGGCTCCAAAATAAAATCAAGGAGGGGGGGGGGAAAAAATCCTCCAAAACCCGATGCAAATGAAACCCCCTGGCCGAGGTAACAGCCTCCACCTGGCCTGACATCAAGGGCACCGATGGCCCAGCGACAGCATCAACAGCAAATGTTTTTGGAGGCGTTTTTGGAAGGATCAAACCGCTTTCCCCCGACGTGGGCACTGCAGCCTGACACGCAAAGGGAACAAACTCGGCTTTATAGTCCCGGCGTGGTGCTGAGCGAAGCCGGAGACGGAGCCCCCAGGGACAGGATCCCACCACACAGGGGGGTCCCACAGGGCAAAAAAAAAACCCCAAAAACCTCGTGGAGAGGAAACTCCTGCGGGCAGCGGCTCCCTGGGCAGCTCCGAGCAGCCCGACGCCGAAAGGCAGCCCAGGCAGGGCAGCTCCCGGAGCCTCCCTCAACCACGAGGCACCATCCTGCCCCCGGGAGAGCCTCCCCAGCACAACAGAGACGCTTCTGCGGTCGCAGAGTCTCTCTGGTTTCTCCAGGCTCAGCCCCCGGCCTCGGGCGCTGCCAGCCCCAGCCTTTGACAGCCCGAAAGCGAAACCACCGCGAAGCCGAGGGGAAGGAGCTCAGCGCCAGAGCAGACACCGCCTCAGCACCCAGGGAACCTGCACCGTTTTTGGTTTAATCGCCAGCAATCAGCCCCCCGAAGCCGAGCACAGATCTCTGGTTTCATAACCTCCAAGCCTCCCTGTGCAGCGCCAGGCTGGGCCCTTCCTGCTTTTGCCATGGAAGCCCAAAGAGTTTTTCCAACATCCCAACCTGGAGCTGTGAAATTATCCCTCCAAGATGGGTCAGGGAGCTATAAACCATCCCTCCGTGATGGGCCAAAGAGTTTTTCCAACATCCCAACCTGGAGCTGTGAAATTATCCCTCCAAGATGGGTCAGGGAGCTACAAACCATCCCTCAGTGATGGGATATGGAGCAGGAGGCCGGCAAGGAGGGAGGGACACACGGGAAAATCCAACGGTGCCACCCCAAATCCATCCCTGAGCTCCCTGTGCTGCATCCCACAGCCACGGAGAGCTCGGAGCCTGCACCCCCTCCCCACAATTCTCAGAGCTGGCCAGCCCTTCACTTACTGCGGGGCTCCCGGGGTCCGTCCACGGTCACTTTGATGGCTCGGTGGTAGGTGGCCACTTGGGTGGGGTTGGTGAACACGGTGATGGTCAGGGTGAAGCTTTTCCCTAAGGAGGGTGGGGAGGGAGGGAAAAAAAAAACCAAAGAGAAGTGAGGATCCCACATGGGTTCAGCTCTTGCGGGAGACAGAGGCTGCTGCGGGAGCGGGCTGGGGCAGGAATCCCGCACACATCATTGCATTTAACGAGCCGCGATTGCCCAGACACAGCCCTGGAGCCGCTTCAGAGCGGAGCCGGGACCTTCCCGCACGGAAAAGTCACTCTTCCCCCTGCCCTGCCCTGCTCCCGTATCGGCCCCTCCATCCAGGGCAGCCTCCTGGGGTTTTCCCTCTCGGACCCTTCCCCTTTTCCGCGGGGAGCCAGCCCTGGATGAGCGCTGGATGCGGGATCCCCTCCGGGGAGAGCCCTTGGGATGCTCCCTTGGGATGGAGCCGGGATCAGCCTCAGGGGATCAGGGCTCGGTCCCTGTGCGTGTTCCCACCTGGAGGGAGCTGTGAGCGGCCTCGGCCGTGAGGGCACCCACGGGATGGTCAAAAACTGGGAACTGCAAAATGGGAACTGAATCCGGCCGGCTCAGGCCACCAGACAGAGAGCTCTGCAGGGACTGTCCCCTCTCCCAGCCCTGCCCAGAGAGCAGGAATCTGCTGCTGGGAAAGGCTTTGGATACCTCCGGGGAGGGTTTCAGAGGTGCTTTTGAAGCACCAACCTATCACCTTTTATGAAAAAAAAAAAATAAAATAAAATAAAAGAATGAAGCATTGAAAAGCTCCTGGGAGCCAAATTTTGCAAGGAGAGCCCCCCTTGCCCCAGCAGAACAAGTTTCCATCTGCAGCCTGAAAATGCCTTTATCATCAGAGAGGGTGTCACCAGCCCTGGGCCCACCCTGACCCCAAACCCTTCACCTCTCACAGCCAGGGCAGCCTCACCCCAGCCCCTGGCCTGGCTGGAGCTCCATGTCCAGCCCAGGGGAGGCTGTGGGAGAACAGAAACCCCCCAGGAAGGGCCTCAGCTCTCCCTCAGGCTCTCCAAATTCAGGAAACCCTCGGCTAGAGGAAGGAGGCTGCACAAACCCCAAACTCTGACCAAGCCCCAGCAGCAATCCCTGCGGGATTCCAAAAGTATCAGAGGTCTGAGCCCCGGCAGGGTATCAGCTATAAACCTCGGTGTGATGGATTTCTGCTCCTCCAGCCTTTATTCCACTGATAAAAGCAGTAAGGAACCACCTCCTTTCCCTTTTCCCCTGTAGCAATCAGGGGTTTTCAGATCCCGACCATCGTCTCTCTACAGGGTCGGACCTGAGAATATCCACAGCAAAACAAAACAGGATTTATCCAGCTAGGAGGCAAAAAAAAAAATTGAATAAACCGGAAAAGTGAAATTTTCTCTCCCGGAGAACATCCTGGAATTATCGCAGGTGGGAGAGTTGCTCCAGGGAGCTCTGAAAGGAGGGAATGCGGCTTCTAAAGGCGAGAGAAATCACCAACCCCTCCTCACCTCGGCTTTCAAACCAGGACCGAACAACGCACAAACCTTCAGCTCGTTTTCTGCACAGAGAGGAGCGTTTGGGAGGGCAAAAAAAATAGAATTATTTCATTCTGAATCCCCGAGGATGCAGCCCCTGCTGCCAACCTGCAGGGACGGGATGAGCCCGTGGAGGATCACGGAAAAAACAACCAGCACCGAAAGTTTGGGGGTAAAACCTTCGCAGAGCCAGAGCACGGGGTGAGGAGGATGAGGAGCGATTATTTAGGGAATTTGATGAGGAGCGATTATTTAGGGAATTTGATGAGAAACGATTATTTAGGGAATTTGAAAGGTTTGCAGGGCAGCGTGCTGCAAAACCCGGCTGTGAGGCACAGAACCCCAGAGCTGAGCCCGGCACCTCCGTGCTCCTTTTAAAACTGCATTAATAGTGATTTATTTATTATTATTACAATCTTGAATTTTTTTATTCTCCACCTGAAACAACCTCCCTGCCCCGGAGTCCCTCGCTGCAAACACAAACCCAGCCCGGGCCGGTTCTGCCTCTCTCAAAAAGCCTGCCCTGAACCGAAAATGACGATTGTGCCCCAGCATCACTTTTAGTCATTTCCCGCCTTCTCAGGAAGCCGGGCTGGGGTTTCTCATCCCCACCGTGCCCCGGCTCCGCTTCCCCGGGGCTGGAACTCGGCTCCCGGGGGGGGTTTGGGAGCCCCGCCGGCTCCAGGGGGAGATTCCAGCTGGGAGAACAGGCGGGGATAATTTTCATTTTATACAGCTCAATCTGAGTTTAAAAAATCTGATTTATTTTTTCATTTTTGTCTTGCACGTGGAGATGGGAATTTATTTTTTTTGGGGGGGGGAGTTAGGAGCGGCTCTTCCCAGCTCACAGCGCCGGGGAATAATCCCTGACACCTTATTACTAAAAATACCCAAATCTGGCCCGGTTCAAGGGGTGTTTTCCCAAGGAGAGCCGGGCTGCCGGGCTTTTCCAGGCTCCTGCAGCTCGGGCACACGGCAGGGCTGGAGAAGGATCCGTGTTTACGGATCCACACGTCCTCGCTTCGGATTTACACAAACATTTGTACACACACGGGGAAATATTCCACAGCGCCTCCAAATTTCTGCCAGAATAAATGAAAGCAGCACCGGGCTGTCAGGGCTGGAGCCAAACAAGGCAGAGGGAGTGTGACACCCGGAATAAAAATTCAATAGGGGCGATTTTTCACAGCAAAATTGCTCTGTGGGAAAGACACGGGGAGTGAAATCCACCCGTGACACGGCGAGAAAAGCGCACGGAGCCGCCCTCGGCCGGCCCCAGGGAGCCCCGCTGGGGCTGTTCCTCTCTGGGTATGACAAAGCCTCACCCCACACGAATATGTTTAAAAAAAAATAAAATTAAAATAATTAGCGCCCGAGTCCCGCCCGTTAGCCGCCGCTGCTCTGCCCGGGGAAGGAGTTTATTCACTTTATGAGACACAACTCCTGCTAATTCCGAGCTTGAGAGTGCAGAGGAAGCAAGTTAATAATGAATTCAAGAGTCACGCTGAGATTGGGTTGCGTTCAGTTTGGAAATTTGTGCGAGGATGAAGAAAAAAAAAATAAGGAAAAAAGCCCAACCAGAAAGAAAAGAGCTTAAGAGAATAATTGATTACAGAAATGAAAGCTTAATTCATAAAAGAAAAACATTTTCCATCCATCAACCTGCAACCAGTTAAGTGGAGAGTTTTAAAGAAACTGCAACATGGAGAAGGAGCCAACAGGAAAAAGGAAATGTATGAAAGAATGTAAACTATTCAAGTTTCATAAAGAGGAACAAGTAAACAGTTATTACATGCAAATAATTCCTAACATCACTGCTTTTAATTAATGCGGAGAAGTCAAAATATATCTGACACTGTGTGTATACATTTGAAGCCTTTGAGAAAGTGCTGCCATATGGCCATTAAAATAAAAAGTTCTTATTTGGGCTCAAATTGAGCGCTTCGATCTGCAGCGTTCACTGGCGACGAAATGCTGAAATTCTATTTATACCCTCGGAAACAGGTACAGGGAGGGCAGGCAGGGCTCCGTGTTTAACATTTCCAGGGGATTTATTTCCCTCTGCTCGGGTGGCACGGGATGGATTTGTTTGGAAAAGCCGGGAAGCCAAATTGCCGTCCTGCCTTTCCCTGCCACGAGCAGGGGGGGAAAAGGAGCAAAACCCCCCCGAGCAGCCGCAGCTCCCTCCGTGCCAGCCCTCCAGACCGAGCCCTGAGTTATTATTTCACTTTAAACTCTCGATTTTCGCTTTTAAAGCCGAGCTGCCAGGTGCGGGCTGCTCACCGAGCGCCCGCCGCTGCCTCCTGCGTGATGGGAGAAATCGGGGAAGGTTCGGGCTGGGGCCGCCTTGTTTGTGTTTAGATGGATTTATAGACATTTAGATGTATTTATGTCTGTATTTTATTTTTTTTTTTATCTGCACCGCCCATTCCCGACACCTCGGCAGAGAAGAAGCCCTGGGAGGAGCGAGGCAGAGCTGCCGGCGGGGCCGGGGCTGCTCCCGCATCCCTCCCGCATCTTTCCTGCATCCCTTTCATCCTCGGGAGCCTCTCTGGGGCTGGGGAGCTTCTCCCGGCAACGAAACCACAGTCGGAATAAAATATAATATAGAATAAAATAAAAAAAATAATAAAAAATAAACGAACAAAATAAAATTTAAAAATAAAGTAAGAACTATAAAATATAATAATAAAATAACGAGAAAGGAGAGAAACATTTTTTTCTTTTTTTTTCCTTCTAAAAATAAATAAATAAATAAAAAGGCCAACCATTTCCTGGCCGGTACCTACCCCTGCCGCTTCTCCCAACAAATCTGAGGTCGTTAAATCTCGCTACTTGGTTTTTCATCACGGCAGAGGCGTTGCGCAGCTCCGCCGAGTAATTCTCGTCGTTCCCCGCCATCACCGTGACCACGGTCCCGTCGGGGACATCTCCGAGCGCCACGACCTAGGGCAGGGCCAGAGCATTTCAGGCTCAAATCAGCCTCCACCGGAGCCAACCTGCGCTACGGTTCCCCCCCTAAACCCGCGCAAAAAAAAAAAAAAACCCAAAGCAAAACCAAAAGCAGCCCGAGCCCCCGAGGAAGGCTGAGAAAACCGGAGGGGGAAGGGGAAAATGAGCTCGAAAAGGGTTAAAAGCAGACGGGGGGTCCGCGGGGAGGGGGTGAAGGGGGGGTCAGCCCACCCTCGGCCCCGTCGGAGGAATCTGTGCGTTTATTTTGTTGGATTCGGGATCAAAATAAAACGAGCGAGGCCCCGGAGCTCCGCGTCCGGCCCGGGGAAGCGCCGGGAGCGGGGAAAGGCCCTCACCGCTGCCGGGGAGCAGCGCCCGGAGCCGGGGGAGCCCGGTTTAGAGCCCCCCGCACCCCTCCGGGCTCCCTGCCCCGCTCCCCTCGCTTCTCCCCCGCTCGGTTTCGGCTTCCCCGGGGGCAGCGGGGATGCCCAGCCCGGGGGTGCCCCGGGGAGCCCGGGCAGCGCAGCCCGGCACCACCGGGGCTTCAGCTCTTCGCTCGACTTTCTGCAGATTAGATCTCCCTTCCCTGCCTCGCTCTCCCTCTCCCAGGAAGGTAATTAACCTCCAGCTCATTAAACTTCAAAGTTGCCTGAGAGCTCCTAACTGTACGGAATATCTAAGATGCCGTGACCGCGGGGCAATGCGGAGACTTGATTAAAAATAATAAACTGGGCTGTTTGATTAAAAATAATAACCCGGGCTCCCTCGGCGGCGATGTCAGGAGCGATTTCAAGCGAAAGGGGCGGAGGGGAAAGGGCGAGCGGCCGGCGGCTCGGTCCCGTCGGGGCTCGGCACTCACCTTGAAGGCGACGGGCAGCGTCTTGTTGCACCTCCAGTGCGACGGCAGCACCGAGCACAAGAAGTTGGGGCTGTCGGTGCGCACCAGCTCGCCGGCGTGATCGGCCAGGACATCCACGACGGAGCGCACCTCGGGCCGAGCGCGGCCGCCCGGCGCGGGGGCCCCCAGCGCCCCGCTGTTCTCGCCCATCTTACCGCAGGGGAAGGCCGTGGACGGGGGAGTGAAGCGCCTGCTGGTGCTCGGGTCTACGGGAATACGCATCACAACGGCGGGCGTCAGGGAGCCGGGCGGGACGGGCGGGCACCCGGCGGGGCTCCCGGTGCTGCTGCCGGTGCCGAGCCCCGCTGGCGGCTCCCGTGCCGAGCCCGAGCCCCGCTGCCGGCCCCGCCGCGCCGCCCGGTACCGTATTTACTGCCGGCCCCGGCGGGGCGGGGCGGCCGTGACGGACGGGCGGCTTGACCAATGAAAGCCCCGCGATGCGTCCTGGCCCCGCCCACCAGCGCTCTCCCGCGGGGTGGAGGGCGTGGTTATGCGCAGAGAGGCGTGGTTAGTACATGAGTGGGTGTGGTTATGGGGGAAATGGGCGTGGTCTGTGCAGGGCGCGCCCCCGCGGGGCGCACGTCGGGGCTCCGGTGGTTTCTGGCCGCCGCCGCCGCCGCCGCCGGGGAGGTTTTGGGGTGCGGTGGGGCCGGTTTGGGGCCGGAGCCGCGGCCGTCCGGAGCGGCTGAGGACACAGCCCTGCCCCGCCGCCGCCCGCGCCCTCCCCGCGGTGACGGGACCTCGGTGCTCCACGGGGAGCACCGGCACTCGCCCCCCCCGGCGGGGGGATTCGCCTCTCGGGCTGCGCCGAAAACCGCCGTTCCCAAACCTCCTCCTTCTGCCCTCCCCAAAATCGTGACCCGCCTCATCGCCGGCGGGCTCGGGGAGCCCGCAGCCCCCGGCGCTCCAGGCAGCTCCCCCGGGGCTGCGGCTGCGGGCAGGGCCGGCGGCTCCGGCCGGAATCCGTTGGCCAGAAAATTCGTGGCGAAGCCACCGGTTCTGCGGCAGCAAACACAACGAAGGCGGCGGCTCCCTGCGCCCCGCGGGTGCCCCGAACGGCGGGGCGGGCGGCGGCAGAACCGGGGCAGAACCGGGGCACGGGAGGAGGAGGTTGCTGTGCCCGCGCTGCTCCCCGGGTGTTTCCCGGTGCCCGGCTCGGTCCTACGGTGTTTGCAGACGGGCACTGTCCATCCGAGAGGAGCCGCCCGGGCCGCGGCGTTCCCGGGTCCTCTCTGCCCGGTGTGAAACGCAAATTTCCTTCAAACCAGCCGAAATAAAGCCCGACACCAGAAAATCCTCCTTGCACTCAGTAATGAACCATTTTCCTCCGCGAGCCGCCGTGCCTCGAGGGGCAAACCCGGGCCGGGCTCTGCCAGCCCCAGAAACCCCGGTGCTCCTCCAGAAATAATCAACAACAACAACAATAAATACATATTATTTTTAACCGAGGAGCGGCGGCTCCCGGCCCGCAGCTCCCGTTACACCGCGGCAACCACCGGGATCCGCACCGGGACCGTCGAGCCCCGCCAGCCCCGCGGGCAGGGCCTGCCCCCGCCGCTACCGGCGCTCAAATTCTGCCCTTTTTAGGTGAAAGCGGCCGCCGGTTCAGTTCTACTTTTCACCCCCCGTTCGCCAGCGGGAGGAACCCGCAGAACCCGCGGGGCGGGGGCAGGGCCGCGGGCGGGGCCGGGGTTTGCCGGAGGTCGGGCACGGCCCGTCCCGGTGCCCCCCGGTACCGCGGGGGGGGGCACGGAGGGGTGAACGGGGGGCACGCGGGGCGAGGCTGCAGTTCCGCCGTGCGGCCGCGGGTTGGCACCGGGGCTCCGCCGGGGCGGGACGGGACGGGACAGGACGGGACGGGACGGGATGGGATGGGATGGGATGGGGGGGCTGCTGACACCCCCGGGCTGCTGACACCCCCGCACCATCCCGACACCCCCCCCTGCCCTTTCCCGACCCCCGGGGCTGCCCCCACTCTGTCCCCGCCCCGCCCTGCGCGACCCTGGCGGTGTCACCTGTCCCCACCCCGGGCCGCGGAGGGCAGGGGTCCCACACGGACAGGGGGAGCCCTTTGGGGTGATTTGGGGCTGGGTCCCTGCAGCAGGAGCGGTGGTTCTCTATCCGGCGGCTGTCACAGCCCCGCCATGCACACACATTTCTCTGATCCTTTTTTTTTTACACCGGGAGCCACCTGTTGGCGCTGAAGGCATCACCTGGATTCCTCCAAGCGCCTCCCGAGTGGCTCCCAGCCGCATCCCCAGGTGTGCTGGGTACCACGTCCTGCTGCCTTGCCCAAATCCTCTCTCTCCGCGCTCTCTGCCCTCCCCCCGCCCTGCTGTCCCCTCGAGGTGTCGGGGTGCAGCCTCACCCCACAACCCACAGCAGGGCCCTGCACGTAGCTGCTGACTCGCAGCAGTGCAGAGATGAGACCCAAACCACAGAGCTCCGCCAAACCAGGCTGCCCGCAAACCCAAAACTGTCTGGGGACCTTCCGAGGGGCAGAGCCCAGCGAATCAACCCCGTGGCTGCTCCTGCCAGAGGTGCCCAGCCGAGCAAAGCCACCCCAGAGCTCCGGGGACCCGCGGAGCCGTGCCCGAGCAGGAGGAAGGAGTTTTCATTTGAATTCTGCTTTTCCAACACAGCAGGATGCAGCTGCTCTGGTCCTCCGCAAACCAGGAGATGTCGACACGTGGGGATTATCCCAACACCGCCCTCCCCGCGCTCCCGAGGAGGTTAATAGAGTATCAGACCCAGGATTTGCATGGGCCTCTTTACAAACACTCAAAAGCTACTGTTCGCATCGCGGGGAGGTCAGCAGCTCTTTAAATCATTCCTCGCTGGGATTACTTCCCTTACAGGCTCCTCTGTAGTTTTTAATTCATTTGAGCTGCTCTTTTAGCAGCGGAGCCGCTCGTTTCGACAGCAGAGCAGCGAGAGCAGAGGCTCAGAGGAAGCTTTCTATTAAAAATTCATCGCAAACTCTCAGGAGCTCGGCACTCAGTAGGGCCAGGCGGGTGTCTGGATCTATTTTGTAGCTCAAGGAAGGGGATCTGAGAGCAGCACGCAGGGAGGGAGCGTGCAATTCATTCATAAATCAAACAGCAGATGCCGGGGCCAATGGGGTGCACGGTGGTGGCAGTTTTTAACCCCTGAGTGTCACTGCTCGAACGGGCTCCCCCGGGGCAGTTCTGGGGGCAGAGGCTCCTGCGGGAGGAAACTGCGGGGCTCGGGGGGAGGAATGAGGGGAAACTGGCGGAGGAAAGAAAGGGCAGCGGCTGCCCTGACATAAATCAGGGAAATCTCCTCCTGGGCAGGGAGCAGCTGCCAGAGCGGATCCAGGACGGCTCCGGGGGCTGCCCCGGGCTCTGCTGTGCCCTGGGCTCGGGGGTGCCGCAGTGGGGGCCCTGCTCAGCCCCAGTGCCAGGGATGCTGCTTGAGGTGGGATCCTGAGCCGGGACAGCCCCGGGAGCCGCAGCTGCCCGGTCCCACCTCGAGTGTGGACACTCTGGCGCTGAGATCCTCGCTTGGAGCAGCAGCAGAGCAGCAGGAGCGGGGCTTCAGCCGGAGTTTGAGATGCTCTCAGCAGGGAAAATCAGGCTGAGGTTCCCACTGGGGCCGGCTGTCATTCGGCAGCACCTGAGTGCCTACAAAAGGCTGCGCTGGAGAAATCGCCATCGGTGACACCCCTGACAGCTTTGGGGCTCCCACCTGTCCCCACCTGAGCCCTGCAGCTTTTGTACCAGCCCTCATTTCCAGCAGCATCCCCAGGGGACACTCCGCGCCCGCTGCGCTCGGGAGGGAGCTGTGGCAGCCCGGGCTGGCTCGGGGGATCCAGCAGCGATCCCGCTGCCCTTGGGGCGTTTGTCACTCCCGGGGACAGCCGGACCCGGTGTCCCGGCAGCAGGCGAGCCCTGCCCGGGCGTGCGCAGCGCCCCGGGAGCAGCCGGGGCTTTCAAAAGCTGCGAAAGTGACTCGGGAGCACGAGTGCGATTGACGTGAGCGCTGCGGTTGTGAAGTCACGAAAGTGCCATTCTTCATTGTTCGGGGCTCCGGCCCGGCCGCGGCAGCCCCGCGAGGAGGAGCACGGAGCATCCTCCGCGCTATTGATAGCGCGGCCGCGCTTCTGGAGCGTGGGTCCCATCTGCCGCTTCCACTCCTTCTTATAGGATCCTAATGACTGTCAGATCCTCTTAGTTCTTAATTAATTTCAGAGTTCGGCTGCAAATAGGAAACAAGGCAGCTTTTGCCCTTACGCATATGAATATTACTGTTCCATTTAATGTGGTTATGGGTGGAATGCTGTTATTCATTCCTGCCTGCAATAAAAGCCACATGTTTTTAAAACTTTGCACTTGAAAAAACTTTTAGGAAAGGAATCAAGTATGTTTTGTATGCATGGCATGAGATAAAAACTGGTCATAAATATTCAAAGAACAGTTAGAGCTTTATGCTTGATTTAAACAAGTGAACAGAGGAGTCCGAGGGTTGGGGCAGAGCAGAATGAAAGCCCAACACTCCTGCAAGAATGTGCTTATGCAGAGAAAAGGAGCCATTCATGCAAAGGTTATGGAGCACCTAAGGACACCCCATCTCCTCCAAGAATGCCCAAAGGTGCAGAGCACAACTGGAAACACTGGGCTTTGTTCAGAGCTGCTCGAGTTCACGGCAGTTTCTCCCTCTCAGGGGGTTTCGGAGGAGTTTTAGGGAGGAGTGACGCCTCCTCTGCCGGGTCCTGCAGGGAATGAGGGCTCTCCCTGCTGGAGACACCTCCAGCCTGTCCATTCCCCACGGAAGGAATTTCATGGGACTCCTGGAACTCCTGGGGAGACCTTCCCTGCAGCCAGCGCTGCCAAACCCTCCCGGGCAGGGAGAGAGCCCCGGCTGCCGCCAGACCCTCCGAACCCAAAACGCGACAGGGGGAGAAATTTAAAAAAAATTCCAAAGGAAAGAAAAAGGGGAAACGTCTGGAAGGTGAAAAGAGGAACCGAAAGGCACATGACGGCGAGAAAAGCACAAGGGGCACAGAAAAGCAGGCTTTGAGCTCTGATTGCAGGGAGGGGAGCTCGGAGCAGCTCTGTCACGGAAAGGCTCCCGGGCAGAGCTCCAAGGCGCAGGGAAATCCTCCTGCACGTGCTGAGCAAAGCGCTGCTGCCGCAGGAAAACGCTGCCCCGAGCCGTGCCTTGCCTCGGAAAGTCGTGGTGCTTTGGTAAAGCTGGACCCA